ACTGTTGTTTTTCTTTTCTCTGGGAGCTGCACTGGGGGGAGGGGAAGCACCCAATTATCATTTTAAAAACCTCCTGCGGAGGCGGCTTCTTTGCCTTGTCTCATCCAGAACGTTGCATTTAGGGTTTTTTTCCTCCAGAGTCTGGATGTGGCTGGCTCGCTGTGTCATGCGCAGGCAGCACCAGTTTGCTTAAGTGCTTGTGATGGCACCTTGGGACTTGCTGCTAAGGACGATTATAGCTCCCTCTGCCCCTCCCCTGCCCCAGCCAATCAGTGCTCTTCCTCCCCTCCTCCAAATTGTGCTGCAGGAGTGCTGTGTGATCCTGACACTGCGTGCAGCCGCTGTGCCTGTCCTCTGAGGCTCTTTAAGGGCTTTGCGCACAGTAATTAAGCCAATGAGGTGGGTAGGTGTGATCTGAATTAGGTAAACTGAGGCACGGAGGTTAATAGTCTGATTTCCAGGGACTCAGAAGCCAACAAGGACTTGCTAGTGTTGGCAGCTCTGAAAGTGAAGCTATTTAGTGTCTAAGACAACAAGCTGAGTTTGGGGGGCTAGAACCCAGAGCCCTTCCACATGGGCTCTCACCGTCAAGAGAGGAGCTGGGGGGCAAGCCCAGGAAGGGCCAGGAATGAGTACCAGACCAACCAGAGGGAGAGGAACCCTTGGGCCTTGTCAGTCCCAGTAACCGTCTAGATTCCACACTCGTTCCTGGCCATAGCGTCAGGGCCCAGTGCTGGGAATGCCTGCGCCGAACAGTAACCGTCTAGATTCCACATTCGTTCCTGGCCATGGCGTCAGGGCCCAGTGCTGGGAATGCCTGAGCCGTATCAACACTGGTACTCAAGCCCCTGCTCATCACAGCTGCTAGAGTGAAATGGCAATGGATGGAGAGGGACATGAAGAGCCATGGGGAAGGGGAGCGACTCTTCAGCTGGGGCTGAAACGAGCTGGAGGCAGTGAGGGTCTGGGAGCCGGCCCACCTGGCAGAACATGTAGAGGAGAAGGCTCTTGCCCCTGTAATGGCAAGACTATGGGAAGGGAGGGGCGAGGACTTTGGTGGAGAAGCAGAAGGGGAAGGGAGGAGACTACAGATTCACAGACCTCCAGGTCAGAAGGAACCATCTCAGCTGACCTCCTGCACACCACAGGCCAGGAACCTACCCCAGCGGAGACTGACCCTCAGACAAGGATCCACTTCTCAGTTCCCTGGTGTGCCAGGAGCCAGTGGGGCTGGGCAGCAGGCTTAGATATTGGTCAGACTGCTCTGCATTTGTCAGTATGGGGCTGTAACACGCTTTCTCTGCCCTGGCCAGAGCCTGCTCCTAGAAGAGGTGGGACAGTGGCCCCAAGACCAAGATGCTGTTTTGCTCACAGTGAGTCTGCAAGCCCCCTTCATCTAGCAGAGGAAGAAGAAGAATGAAGATTCAGACCTGTTCTTTGGTCCCCACCAGGCTGCGGTCTGGGACAAGGGCTGTTAGCAGCAAACACATTCCTGTCTCCTCAGGCAGTGTCTGCCTTCCCCCTTCGAATGTCTATCCCCTGGTCTTCTCCCTTCTCAGTCCCGCCCCCCACCGAGGGATGCCTCTGCCTGTCCTAGACTAGCATCCTCTGTATTGTTAGTGTTTTGCGTTGATTGATTGCGTTCAGCTCCCCTTACACGCACAGTCCTCCCTCCTTATTAAAGGGAGTTCTGTGTTGGATTAAGTTCCTTCTTGGTTTATTTGGCTGCGTCTCGACTCTGTGTTCAAAAAAATCATTTAGAAAATCACAGGGAGTGTCAAGCTGGACAAATTTCTCCTGCCTTCCCCACTCATGGGTGAGGTCAGAGAGGAGAAAGGTCTATCGTTAGGTTATCTAGTCAAGTGTTTCTCAACCAGTGGTACGAGTATCCTTAGGGGTACTCGAGAGAAGACTGGGGGGTACATCAACACAACCAAAATTTGGAGAAAACTGAATTTTTGTTTTAAGTTTTATAGCGCTTTCTTATTTTTGTACTTTTTACACTTACAAATTTCATCGCCCGCCCGACCACCATTAAGTTGTTTAAACAAATGTGTTGCAATGGTAGGAAAAAAATGGTGTGTCTGAAATCGGTAGGTACTGGGGGTACACATCATTTTTTTTAAAAGGGGTACTAGGGGTACTTTATAAAAAAAGGTAGAGAAACACGGATCTAGTCTGCTTCCTCGCCATAGCAGGGTTGATACAGAGCAACTCATAAGAACATAAGAACGGCCGTACTGGGTCAGACTAAAGGTCCATCTAGCCCAGTATCCTGTCTGCCGACAGTGGCCAGCACCAGGTGCCCCAGAGAGGGTGGACCGAAGACAATGATCAAGTGATTTGTCTCCTGCCATCCCTCTCCAGCCTCTGACAAACAGGCCAAGGACACCATTTCTATCCCCTGGCGAATGGCCTTTTATGGACCTAACCTCCATGAAATTATCTAGCTTCTCTTTAAACTCTGTTATAGTCCTAGCCTTCACAGCCTCCTCTGGCAAGGAGTTCCACAGGGTGACTCCCGTTCACTTTGGTAGAAAAGAAGACAGGGCACCACTTTGCAGAGTGAGAGATGTGTCCTACCTCCCCATTTGCTGCTGGGTTTCGGGATGACAGAAATCCCATCCCTCTTGCTATGGGGACCTCCAGCTCTGTGCTGGTTGGAGTCCCTACTGTCAGCCATGTGCCACCATTGCTGGTCAGCCAGCCACGCACAGGCTACTGTGGCTGATGGTGTCAATGAATCCCAAAGGGAGATGACAGCTGAGCACTCTTCATCCTGCACCTCCACTCCCTGTGTTAGCAGCGCTGGGCACTTCAAATAGCGACCTTGGGCAAGTGTTCTCCAAACTCTGCCTTGGCTCTTCCGGACAGGCTGTGTGAGCGGAGCCGCAGCAGCTGTTGGCAGCCAAAGGCCCTTGCTAATCTGGGAATTCTATGACAGGAAGCACACGCCCAGCCAACCTGCCAGAAGACAAAGCCTATAATGTACACCCCGGTCCCAGGGGTGTTCCTGTGCTGAGCTCTGGCTCTGTGTGACTGTTTCCCAGCCCCTAGCACATGTTGATTTATTTCCCAGGGCTCCACAGAGGCTAGGGTACAAGACAATCGTGCACCTGCTTTTGCCATGCAGCTGTGGATGCAGGACTGCTGTGCTCCAACTTGGACAAGACGGCCAAGATGTACAGTGCAGAAGACTGGCAGTTTCTGTTAGGCCCTGCCTCTAAAACAGGGTCCATCTATTCTATGATGCTGCAGAATTTTCCAGACACCATCCCTCACTGAAGAATCATGCTCCACCATCTAAAATGTCAGTGATTTCAAAATATCTAGCTGAGTTGTGAGTGCCAGGGCGACCCTTCTGAATGTGTGCAGGTAATTTCCTGAGTCTACCTGACTCAATAATTTTGTGAGGTGTGAACTATCCCCATTCACCTCAAGTGGGTGTTTACGCAGAAACCAGCCACCGCAGTTTAATGGCTAATCATTTCACTGCCAATCATTTCTGCAGAACTCTCCAGCCAGCATGCAACATCCCTTGTTTGCACCCTGCCTTCCTGGGTGGCAAAAGCCCCAGGTAACATTTGCCCACCTGTCTGAGAGTTATGCACCAACATTGCAAAAACCCACAGAGCATGGAACACTAGCAATTGATGAACAGACACAAGAAACTGACTTTGACAGAAACATAAGACACTTCTCCCCGGCTTTTCTTTTGAGTCAGCGAACACTCCCATTTTGTAGTCTACCTCCATTTCCAGCCTCGCTTTATCTCAGAGAAGTCCAGTGTTGTGAAGCCATTTTATGGCCGAGCCGGCCATGTGGTTGGAGACAGAAGCATAGCATCTGCCAAGATCCACACTGGCCCTTCTGTCTTAAACAGACACCTCGTTGGACCCAGTAGTCCTCTGTGTGGGGATGGATGGGGCTGGGATATATTGGTGCAGCAAAGCGATAAATGCAGTGGTAATTAAATGGGAAATGGGGTAGCTTCATGGAATCCATCTGGAGGAAACTCAGGTGTTGACCTTGGATGAGTGTGACCATCAGGCTTATGCCATAGAGCATCCCCAGGTTGCGAAGTGAGCCCAAGTGGAGCTTACTTGAAGACCCTGTCCTGATCTTTACTTCCAAGCTGCAGTTAATCTGGAGTAGCTCTAATTCAGGAAGCAAGGTTAGTTTGAATTTACTGAGATCAGAATAGGTGGAGGTTTAGCCATAATACTTAGCTTGCCCCCCAGGTCATTCAGCAGGCCAAGAATAGAGCCAGAAATAGAACCCAAGTTTCCTGAGTCCCAGTATAGTGGTCTCTCCACTGGATTATGCTCTCTCTCAAGCTGCCTTTTAGCCTGACATAAGGCCCACGCCTGCAGTCCTTCCTCGGGCATAACTCTCCTTGCCTCCGGCAAGCCTTTAACAAAGTCTCTCACAAGACGCTGTTGAAGAGGTCAAAGCGCCTCTGGTAAAAAAACAAAGCTCTGTCTTTGATTAGAAAATGGCCAAAAAGGCAGCACTGGAGTATCACTTTTCAGGACAAAAGTTTGGGGTTAGGTGCCCCTGGCTTCCACTCTAGGGCTGATGAAGTTTGCTGTGTCTGTTGATGGCCTGGCTAAAGGGTGGGCAGTGAGGTGGCCGAGTTTGGAGAAGACATACCATTCTTGTTGATCAAAGTCAGAGGAGTTCTGCAATGACCTTTAGAGGTGCCAAACAGAGCTGACAACCTGATGGCAGGTGCCTGGTAATACACATTGCTGTGAACAACTTGAATTCCTTGTGACTGACGTTGAGGCCAAGAGATTAATAGGGTTCAAAAGAGGATTGGATGTTTATATGGCTCATGGGAACAGTCACAACTTTGGGTTAAAACGAATATAGGATGTAACGGTTTATAACAGAAAGGAAGTGTTGCTTAGTGGCTTCAGCACTGGATTAAGTCACAAGAAACCTGTTAGTCTGGCTTGCTGGCTGGAACACTGTAGGCAAGGCATGATCCCTGTCGGATGCCTCAGTTTCCCCGCCTGTGAAATGGGGTGTTGACAATGTGCTCCTTTGAAATGCTTTGAGAGCTACTGACAGTGCCAGGTTAGAGCTAGGGATTATTCCAAATGCTGCTGTGGTAGGTCAGAAGCCAAACAGGAAGAAGATTTTCCTGTGCACAGGTTCTTCCATAATGATTCACTTCTGGGGTTTGTGCCTCTTCCTGTGAAGCAGATCCTGTGGGCGGCTCTCAGATCAGACGGTGGATTAGACAGACCTTGGGTCTGATTCATTCCTGATGGGAGTCTTTCCTGAGCACAGCTGGCAGGATCTGATCTGTGCTGTTGAGACTATCTTGCTCCTATCGCTAGATCTCCCAGTGCTTTACAAAGGAGGCCATTAACCCCATTACACAGACAAATGGCAGCATGGAGAAGGGAGATCACTTGCACAAGGTCACCCAGCAGGCACCCCAGGGAGAGCTGGGAATTGATATAGCAATTAGGCTATGCTGCTAGCCAGTGAAACCTAGGCTCTGAAAGGAGAGGTCCTGGAATGTAATTCTCCGATTAACAATCTCTGCTTCCCCCTACTGAGTACATCTGCCCATAGGTCAGCCTGAAGGCATATGTCAGTAAATGTCTGCTATGCAAATAAATATGTGTCAGCTAGGGATGTTAATAGATAACTGGTTAAACGGGTCTCGATAAAGCATCACACTTAACAGGTGATGTTTACCGGGTAACGGGTCCGTTAACCTGTACCCGGGAGCAGCCCCCTGGTGAAGGGCTATTCTAGCACCACCTGGCACCCCCTGTGTGGAGATTGGTAGAGGCAGCAGTGCAGCCCCCAC